GCAGACTTTCTCGAGTCTCGTATGCAAAGTGGTTTTCGACAATCACCTTTTTCTCCAAAAGAATACAATTAATTTAACCATCAATTTAACCTGTTCCGCAACAGTAAAAACGTGTTGTCTATTTATTTAAATGAAAAATTGATGTTTTGGCTGCCCACTGAAATAATTAAAAAATCCCGAGAAACTTACCTGCGTTTCCATTACCGCAATACCCAGCATAGCATTGATACGGCCTCGAAAATTGGTACAAGAAATACGCGCCACAGTTCTTTATTCTGACATTGTTATACCGGTAACAGCAGGTGTCTGACGAGGAAAAACAGACTCTACGAGTGACTACACCTTCGGCGATCGTCGGGTGTGCGCCATTGAGCCAACCTGGAATTGCAGTACCGCAGTGACGCATGGGAACACATTTGTCCGCAATGCGATCTCCAGCAGCTCCTTGGAAACGATACCAACCTGTTACCAGGTTCCAATCGCATCTATAGTTGCCGTTGATCACTATTTGTCCTTGGGCGCGGTCTGCTTCACTCAGGTCTGTGTAATTGTTACATCCACCCACTGTAAGTAAGGACACATCAGTTGGCTACAGTAACAACAGCACTGCATTTCTCAATTGAACAGTAGTGAAAAATAACAAAACTGAGTGTGTTACGAGTGACAAATGACGAAAATAATGTACGGCTTTTTTTAAAGTCGACGTGATACTTTGCACAAATGTTAAAATTTCCAGTCAATGTGTTATTTGCCGGCTGGGAGTTCCGTAAAGTGAAAAACTGTTACCCGGAGGTCTTAATAATTCTGCATTTTCAAGCCCGAGGTCACAGTGTTTCACTCTACGGACCGACCGTAAGCAGGCAAATAACACATTTTTTTTTTCCTGCCGTAAATCGGCTTTCGTAACCATTCGTAAAAAAATCTAACGAGGGAACGAGCGAGTAACTCTGATACCAGACAAAGAAAGATCTATTAAAGAACAGATTTATTTCGAACTTCTTTATGTTAGTTGCATCAAGTTCACCAGTTAAGTTCTCCAAAATTGTTTTATCTAGTGTGAAATTTCCTGCAAAGTTTATAGTTGTACTACAAAAATAATTTCTGTCAGTCGTTGCGACCGCGAATCACTCGAAATCAGACTTTTCTACCGTAAATGGAATAACAGAAAGCGAGGAAATTTGTTAAGTGTATTCCACAGAAATTCTCTTAAATACAGCAACGCTCAGAGAGGTAAACTCGACTGTAATTGACGAATTGTTTGCTTAAAATTTTGTGGCGACAGAAACACAGGATTACGCGCAATTACAGCGTCGAGCTACAAACGGCCAAACAAACTCTCACAACTTCAAAACACTCAGTTGAATTTACTTACTGCGACTTTCCTTGCCATTTAAAAATGAATAGAGATAAACTTAAGTTGAGTAATCTCCGATGGAAAAGTGAAAAAGGTAAAAGATTGACGATTACCGACCGCTCCCGCAACAAATCAAATTGCAGGATTTGTTGCCGAACTCCGCCCGCTCACGAGCTGAGAAAAACAATAATTAAAAACGTACTGAATCTGTTCACTCTTCTCTTGAGGTTTTTTTTCCCCGAAATAAAAACAGTGCGCTTTATTTTCTGCGTAATAATGCTCCTTTTCAAATAACATATTTTGTTTAGCCCACAATTTGTTACCTCTCGCTTCTCTACAAATAATAATAACGATAAGTATTATTTTCACTTTTGTCATTTTAATCATTTTGTTTAGAGTATACGGCTGTGGTTTTCTTTTTCTTGTCTTCCAAAAAAATGAATCTGCTTCCGTGTAACATTCTTGAACGGTGCACAAGAAAGTCGAGGATCTACAGAGTTAGAATTTTCCTCCGTTTCTTTGTTAACGTCCAAGTATCAAATCTAGACTGAATTTACCGCAAAACCTCCACCTCCCAGTATTTGGTGATGAAACATGCTTCGAACCGCGCGTACACTCACGAACGATCTCACGATTGTAGTACATTGTGCCGGAAGTAATGTTCATTGGCTATTAGTGGCCGTGTTAATCAATGCCAGTCGGTCAAAGTGAAAATGTCTCAGGCGTAGTTTTTCTAGCGGACTGTAAAGGTGAGCGTAAAAAAACTCGCCTGATCGCAGATTAGGCCATCCCCCTTTTTTTTTTTTTCGTTTATTGTCGAATGCGTTTTCTGATTTTGGGTCGGTCGGTCGGAAAAGGAAAAAATAACATCAAATGTCATCTTTAAACACGTTTGTCTGTATTTAAACGGAACAAATGTGATATTTGTCTTGGATCTACAGCACCTTTGTTCATATTTGTCATTGGAGCAAATGCATCATCATCCTATTTATCTTGAGGATAAATACCATATTTGTCTCTCAATTAAATATGGACAAATATGACAAATGTCATATTTACACAACATTCATCTCGAATCAAATCTAAGTTTTCGCCCAGTGTTTTACATTTAAATAAATTGACGTTTCTACTAATTAAGCCTCTGAATGACTTGCCAATTTCTGATGAACCCTTATTAAGTGGTCACCTCCCATTTCCCCTTACCAGCCATTATCCTTGTGTTTGACTCATATGCAAAGAATGGTTAGAAAGAAAATGCTCTCAGTCGCTTTCCTGACATGCTTCATTGAACTCAAAAAGTGAACAGATTTCCCTGTTTTTTCATACCATAACTTTGTTTAGATCAAACTGAAATATCCACATCGACTGGTCAATTGAAGAATTTAGTCAGACAATAGTTTTTAAATTTCATTCACCCTTGATAGGTACGAGGTGAATGTAACAAACTTGGCGCTATGTGCTATGTGTATTTATTATTTTATTTTTATTTTTATACTTATCCATGAACAGTTTATATCTGACACGGTAATAATGCAATGTCAGTGTCAATGTTGTAAGGGCTTGCTCTAAGGAAAAACCTGACTAGAACTCTAACTAAATTGTTAAAGCACCTGGTGTATGTAATTGCAGAGACTTGTATAGGAAAGACTCCCATTTGAGACCCAAAGCTTTCTCTTTGTGACACAATAATTACATTGTTTAGAAAACAATTATGGCTAAGCTTGCTGTATGTATAGGCTGATATTTTATCTTTATCATAGAACTATTTTAGTTGCAAGGTGATGCTAATCAGGAAGCCACCAAAAGGGTTATTGAGGCAGCGGTGGCTGATCATGGTGGATCTGATGTGCCCTAATGGTCTGCCTCAATCCAAGAGCGAGGGAAAACAATGGTGAATGTGGAGGCAAGACAGCCTCATACAATGTCATCAACCTGATGTCGGCCCATTGGAGGTCTGTACTGGGCAATCAGAACCGAGGATGCAGTTCATACTCCCAGCACTCCAGTTCTGGAAACCGCGACTCCATCCACTCGGCATCAAACAGCAGCAACTGTACACTACAGTGCCTGTCCAACAAGAGCAACTCCTCCTACCCGGACCCATCCTTCTTCTACAAGTGCCAGTCCCACAACAATTTCAAATTTTCTAATAACACTGTTTTAAAGTGATTCTAGAACAATGTTATCATTTTTTCTATGGACACAATTTTAAAATGATTTCAGGGCAAGGATTTCAATTTTTATTGAATAGCAATATTTGAACAAGGTTTTCAATTTTCCAATTTTTCTTTTAACAATGTTTTCAAGTGACATTGAAGCAAAATGTTTAATTGATCGTTATGTCTACATGTTTACACATTCTCACGAATGATGTCAACAAAGTTTCAATTATTCAAGGTTATCATTTTTGCAATGATATACATGGAGAACAAGCATGAGGAGCTTAACCCTTCTTAGGAATCCAGACACCCGCTGTTTGGGTTAAAAAAATTTACCAAAACAGCGGGGCGTTTTAGGTAACATAAACCCTTGAAGAACCAGATCAAATCCATTACGCCGGAGAAAGGTGTTAAAGTCGGCATAAACCCGACAACGTTAATGCCGCGTTATTAAGTAGATAATGACAGATTCATTTCAGACGGGGCGCATTTTCGCGCTTTCAGCCGGAAAATTCATGAGTCATAGATCATCACAAAAACAAATTCCCCGTGAAGATTTTACTGGTAAACGTACTGTATGTCGGATAATTTGTTGCCATGTGTAGCTTCAAACAAAGTGAGACTCAAAGCCAAGCTATATACAACTACCTTTATTAGACTTAGGCAAAAACGATTGCAATTCATTTTAGACAGCTAAATTCCTATAAACGACTTCATAAGTGGAAACCACAAAAGCCAAATTGAAGTCTGGCTAAGTAAAACTCTAAAAAATTAGAATTAAGTCTACAGTTAACGGATCGACGTTTTCACTTTTTTCAGGGCAAAGTGCGGACGTGCCGCGTTCCTTGTGAATACTATTTTCCCGCTCTAGTGACACAAAAACTTCGGGCCGCCTACGCAATTTAAAATACCTTATTGTAATCTATGATCATGGTAATCTATGAGATCTATAAATTCCTAAATACAAGTTAGAGTGGAAATCACCAAAGTCAGTTAAGAACGCAGGCGAAGGATCGGCAATGTTTTCAATTTTTTTCATGACAAAGTGCGAACTTGCCGCGTCCCTTGTGAATACATGTATTGGTATGTGCGACTCTTTCCACGCTCTAGTGACACAACACAAAATTTCGGGCCGCCCATGCAATTAAAAAAATACTTCATGGTCTTCCTGGATTTAAATTGTTCTTTTTTAAAAAATTTCAATAACCAGAACTCTTCTTCATAACTGTAATAATGCGATAAATACTCTTTCCGATTTAAATATGGACAAATGTCGGGTAGAGTAAATCACAATAATTCCAGCAACGCTAAAATTGATGTCTTCTTACAAACTAAAATATTTACTTACTGTACAGTCTTTTCAGTATACGGTGGTTCAGTCTTAGTTTAAGAGCGCGCTAAGTTGTGGTCTGACCTCTGGATCCTCCGAAAGTGCGAGGTTTTTCACGATTTCAGGTTCTGCGCCCATATTTAAGGCTTCTTTGTCGCAAAGAAATTGAACCAACTTGGCGAATGAGTACACATCGCTGGCAATAGTTTGTGTCCTGGTTCCGTTGATAATTTCTGGTGCGATGTGAGGAAAGGATTGCCGGTAGATTTTTTGTTCGGCTTTTGTCATTGACTTCTTCTTCACTGGCGCGTCAATTTTAGTGCTCTTCCCGAAGTCAATGATCACGGGATTGAAATGGCGAGACTTGTCCTCAAGAACCACATTATTCGCCTTCAAGTCGTTATGAAGGTAGCCTTTGGTGTGTACGTGTTGAAGAGCCTCGCCGACGTGTTTCACAACCAGCTTCCACTGATCATTCCTGAGGAACTTCTTTTTACATGCAGCTCGGTAAATTGTAACACTCGTATCTTTGTGGCCAAAGAACTTCAGTACAATACTGCATGGTGCCGCCTGTGTTTGGACGCCGAAAAGAAGTGGTAAGCCACAGTGATCTCCTAGCCTGGAGATCACCCCCGCTTCGTTCAAGACTTCTTTTTTCTGTCGTTCGAATGAACGCTCCTTACCACTAATTTCCGTGAATTGTTTGAGAACAACGGTCATGCTTCTGTAGTCGGCGAGTTGGCAAGTGCCGAATGTTCCCTTTCCGATTGTTTTTCCCAGTAAAACAATGTTCTTTGGGTCAATCTCGGTGAGCTGGTGTCTCTCCCTCTCCAATTTTGGTGTCGAACTTGCGGGCTGTCGAACCACCGACCTACTTTGGCTAACCGCTTCCCTTCGTTCCATGTCCATCCTCTCGGCCTGTTCTTTGGTCGTCGCCGTGCAATTTCCACCCCCGCTAACTGGCACATTAGGGAATGGACAGTTGATGGCTAGATAGATATCGTTCGCAAAAAGCTCTGCGAATTCGTCGGTTTCCCCTTGTTTCAGATCTTCGCCCGCTACAACTCTTTGCCTGACATTTTGCACCAAAGCGTCAAACTGCTCTTTTCTTCTCTCTTCTTGACTTCTCCGTAATTCTTCTTTCTTCCTCTCTTTTCGACGTTTCTTCTGTTCTTTGCGGAGGTTTTTGAAATAAAGCCTTCTATTTCTGTCTTGCTCGTCAGGATCCATATCTCTTTCGAATACGTTCTACCTATCTACTGATTATAAATACTTAGAGCACACTGATTGTGAGTTGAGGTTTAAAAAAGCGCCACTATTACAATGCTAACAACACTTCCTTTAACAACCTGATCTATGGCTGTGATTGGTTGGTTCCTAGGTGTGATAATCTCAACACAAGATCAATCACGAACTCATTTCAAATTGCAAAATGGCTCCATTCAGAACAAACTGCGACTATTGCGATTTGAAATTCAATTCGACAACAGCCTTGCTTAAACACAGACGATCGAAGCACCGCAACGCTAATTCAGTAAAACAGCTACCATTTTACGATGGGCAGGAAATAATTGCAGTTCCAGATCCTTATCGTGGAACCCCAAGCTCAACTCTTCAGCGCGAGTACAAAGTGTGGCTAAGCGGAGTGGCAGAAAGCATTAACTCGGCTCTGCACCCCAAAGTATCAGGTAAGAGAAATAACTAGTTCGATTTTTGAGTCAAGCATCCAATAGTCTGGTGAAGTAATTTCCTATTTGTAATGTGTGAATCTGGCATTAAGGTAAGACTTAAAATAGCTCAAATACATGTAACAATGTGCTGTTACTCATGCCGAGTTTCCTCGCGTAAGGTGACATTCGCGCGAGCAGCGTGTTTATTCGCCATGGAGTCTATAAAGGCGGAACAGACTTACCTATGCCCAAAGGAAGCAATAATATTTTTTGAGTACGTATTGCTCGGTCTTAGTGACATAACTCTATTCACGTTTCCTTGCAGGAAAGTGGGCGAGAATTGAACGATTCGACTGTCCCGTTCAATTTCTGTGCCTGATGTTAAAGCGTTTGAAAAGCGCATTTCTGAACAAAATAGATGAACGCTCCCACTGGAGACCACCTGTTTGGAAAAAAAAGACCCGCCAATTTTCATGGAAGTGCTTCGTGCAGGAGGAGGTAAAAGCAGTCTTTAATGACAGCTCCACGCCCTTGACCACCAATAAATCTTTCAGGGGAGAGGAGGAAGTTGACGACTGCAATCCAGTTCGACTCACTGGTATGTCCGCTATCGCCCAAGCAAAAGCAAATGCGTCAGGGCTTACTCGCCAACAGAGCCAGCAACCGACATGCAGGGCATCGTTGGTGGTCGGCTATGGCGAGGGAAGAGCAACCCGTGAATTCGAGGTAATTTGGTGGCCAGACATTTATACCAACCAGCAAAGAGGAAAACTTGCTCTCCGCTTGTACGTGGCGAAAGTCATGTTTACAAATTGACAATCCTTAAAAGAACATTTGTTGCTGATAACTTATCTTAAATATAGCAACATTTACAATCAAAATTGACGATTTCAAATAGTTCATTTGTAGAAAATGTAAATAAATAATAAGAATCAAAAGCAACAGATAAATTGCATGTACAGTACATGCACTTCTGGCTGTTTAATTTTTCTCTTCAGAAAACATCATTTTGTTAATACTCTTTTAGCCAGCGGTAGATAAATGCGAATAAATACTACAGCAGATTAATAATTAGATTCTCGATTATTGTTATTTGAAAGTGTTATTTATATTTGTAAAAACAATTATTAGATTTAACCACAGGCAAGTGAATGCCCCAGTGGTCTACTATGCCAGGTAAAATTTACCCAAGGGAACAGCAGATTGATGATTACATTCTCATTGATTGTTATTTGAAAGTCTTATTTACATTTGTAAAAACAGTTATTAACATTAACCACAGGCAAGTGAATGCCCCAGTGGATCTACTGTGCCAGGTAAAATTTACCCAAGGGAACAGCAGATTAATGATTAAATTTTCACTGATTGTTATTTGAAAGTCTTATTTACATTTGTAAAAACAATTATTAGAATTAACCACAGGCAAGTGAATGCCCCAGTGGATCTACTGTGCCAGGTAAAATTTACCCAAGGAAACAGCAGATTAATGATTAGATTCTCACTGACTGTTATATGAAAGTCTTATTTACATTTGTGAAAAAATTAGATTTAACCACAGGCAAGTAAATGCCCCAGTGGATCTACAGTGCCAGGTAAAATTTACCCAAGGAAACAGCAGATTAATAATTAGATTTTCACTACATGTTCAATTAGGCAAACAAATGCCTCACTAACAGATAGGTCAGGAATTTTTCTGACACTACTGAGAGGCTTAATAGAAGTCCATAATTTACATAATAACTTTGGAAAAGAAATAAATGTTTAGTTAAGAAATTCAGTGTTGTTCATAAATCTGTTCATTCACAAGCTAAAACATCTTCACTGGAGATAGGGATGGAGTTGTCCTTGGTGCAGCTCTAGAATCATAATTTTTCTACCACTGGGTATATGGTCAGGCATGAGGTGCTGCAGTGCCAGACATCTAGCGTACATGCAAACATAGACTCCACAGTCAAAGTCATTCTGCTGTTGAGGAATGTCAGTGGGCTTGTTTGCAATGAATTTCCAGTGACTGGCATCAATGGTAGCATCCAACTCATTGAGTAACATCCACATCTTTGTGATGGCTTTTTTGGCTGTTGGCTTGATAAAGCTTCCTGCCGTGCTATCCAGCACCAGAATTTGGAATTGCTTAGGAAATAAAGCAAGCAGGAACCAGTGTCGGCTATTCTCAGAATTGCAGGGCACAAGGACAATATCTTGCTGCAACAGGGGTGCATTACGTGTAAGGACATCTTTAGCTGGCTGTCTCCCCACTGCTTTCTCAAAACATTCCCAACCAATACATTCTACTTTTGATCCTTGGAGTGCACCTTGTTTGGCAATCAGATCAAGATAACTTTCAATGACAAAGTTTGTGAGGTAGTTTTCCTCTGATGTGGGCCTACCGCCTCTCAAAGCAACAAGATCCCTTGAATCAATTACTTTGCTACCTTCAAACACTACTGAACCATCCATCAAGTTATCCACAAAGGCAGATTCTGGGCCTTGAAATATCCCAGTTGCTGAAATCTGGAATAGGGCAGAGATACTTAAAGGTAACCCATGCTTTATTGCTAGCTTCTTCCTGCATCTTGGTACTAGTGGGGCAACTGGGGAGCACACTTCACTTCTGGCCACCTCTTCTACATCATTTGAACTATGCCTTGTTTCTGTACCAGGCAGAGAGGAGGCTTCTACAACAGCATCACTACAATGGAGGACTGGAACATCTGCTGTCTTCAGTTCGTCACTGTTCGAGACACAAGGTAGTGGCTGAGACTGAAGTGGGGCAACACCATCTAGATCATTTGACTCTGCTTCAGGCTGTTTAACCGTGGTATCAGCAAGCTGTTTTAATAAACTTGCTGATCTTCTTGCTTGCAAACTTACAGCTCTCTCTTGGCAGACTGTCTCAAACGATTCCTCCCACTTGTCATGATCATAGATAAAGCTCCTCCTGGGATCTGACACTTCTGTTACTTGTGTCCCATGGTCTTTACTGTAGGTGTAGTTTAGGTAATCTTCGCCAAAGAGCTTTACAAAAAGATCAACAATAACATCGATCCAAACCTCATCCTCCTGAGACCAGCAGAATGTCCGCTTACTCCATCCGCAGCCGCGAAATGAAAATTTCTTTCCTAGATAAGAGAGAAATGAATGTTTAAGCAAAGATTTCTATTTTTTACTGTTAATATTGTGGTTTTACTTGCAGGTATTTTTTTTAACTTCAAGTTACAATGGGCTTCAGGAGCATTTGGTCTTTCACTAGTGAAATGCTGCAGATGTACACATATACCTACTGATTTTTTTTCGCTATTTTACAAATTATAAAAAGTGTTTTACCTGTTGCTAGGCACTGAAGAGCTTGAACAAATTGGAGCCTTATCCAAAGGAGTTTTTCTGCAGAGGAGTGCGTCAAAATTTGATGGACTAAAAGAAGCAAACAAACACTTTTAACACAGTGTACAAGTTACCAATGTCAAAAAATTATTATCCAGGTTGAGTCAGGCTAAACTGAGAAGAAACAGTGTCCATCATCATGGCATCAGACAGGGAAATTATTTCCTCATTTAGCATACTGCAAATTTTGTTTGACGTGTAATAAAAACCTAGTCCTTTGAAGATCGTGTTCATGTGTTATAGATGAATCAATTACAGTTAACCAAGTTAACGAAAAATCGTGAAGCTCATCTTTGATCATGGTTGTCAAAGTCTGGCAGAAACAATAATTGTTAAATTGTGACTCACTTGATTGGCCTTCTCCTGAGGAATCATGATTGGTGGCCCGAGAGTAAGTACGTCTATCGTCTTTGTGTTTTGCCTCAAATCCTTGATTCGAAAATTTACAGAAAGAGCCATGTTCTCGGAGCAACATTGCACTGTGTTCCACAGTGAGGTGAGATTAGTCTCCCATTCCAAGTGTCACTCCAAACAGGTGACGCAGAAGCAAACCCCACAACTTGCACTACATGACAAAAATAATATTGGTTTAGTAATAGAGGCAACAAAGAAGAACATGCTTTATGTTAAAAACAACTTATAATTCACTACCAGAATTAATGCCTATATATTGAATGACACTGAAATATTAAGAAGTCATTGTGTAAAAATAAAAATGGCTAGTAGGTATTAATAGTTACATGTAGATGTGCAAATGCAATCTAACATAAACCATATTCACAGCTACTATGTAATAATTATTAATACCTTAACATCATGTATATCTATTTGCTCCATTTCATCCTTCTCAAACACTTTGCTTCGAATAACAAGACTTAAGTCATTCCAATCTAGAAACACCTTGAAAATGCAAATAAAAGTTATAACTAATAAAAAACAACTCCATAGGAATAGCACTAAGATATCAAAAACCAGATGATTGAGTAACTATTTTAAAACTGACTATTTTAATGGAGATCACAATGGAAGACTAACAAGTATTATAGTTAGATTAACATTGTGATCACAACCCTTAGTTTAATAATTATTAAGCTCAGAATGTCTTATGTGTGTATAGCTCATTTAGGACAGTAACTATACACAAATTATACTTGACCATTAATTAACAACACTGCCCCAACGTTAACAATAAATAATGTCTTAAGAAAGAGCTTATTAACAGGACCTAAGGCTGAATGTCTCTCTGAATTAGAATCACTCAGAGGGAGTCAGATGAAAACTGAAGGCAACAAGGTAAGCCAGTCAGCTAACCAAGAAAGGCAACTGAACAACTAAACACATGTACCAACCTGTTTAAAATGATCCAGCTGTAATTGTGCTGCCAGTCCTGCCATACAATTCTGAGTTGCATCTTCTTGCTTTGGGGCATTCAATTTCTTCTTCTTTCTGGGAGGCTTCAAACAAGATACACTCTGCTCACTTTGCAGAAACCTCTGTTCAATCTCAACCTGCCTTTTAACTGTTTTGTCATAGGATTCATCTAGGAACTTCTTGAGATCTAAAAACATTAAATACAAAGCTGAGCATACATGTACAACCAGTATACAAAATTATAACAATTTATGAATTCAAATAAAATCAGGACAGATGAAGAGTTTACTAGCTATATGATTAATGCAATCTATTATTTTTAAATGTCTACCAATAATAATCACTCCACCAAACAAACAAGCCATTAGTCTCAAGTTTGCTTATAACATCTAAATCAAGTGACAAAGCATTAGTCAAAGACAAACAGTAAGAAGTCCAATTAAAGTTCTTCAGAGTTAATTTCTTTAACTTGTCTGTGTTTAGTTTTACCATAAATTATTTCCCCTTTCTTTCAGCTATTAAATTTCAATCTACATTAAGCTGCTTTATAGAATGCTCAATATATATAACATGCTGTAAATACTTTTCACTGTGCTCTACCTAACCTTTTGCCTCTCTCAGGGAAACACTCTCCTGTCTTGACCCAAAGTCTCTTGTAAATGTGCCACTGTCTAAAATTGTCTTCAGATACTACAGGGATTTGTTCAAGACAACAAATATTAGTAAGCAGCATAGGGTATGGCAGATATTTAATAGCTTGCAGAGAAAGTATTCATGATACCTTCACTGATCATTGATCAGCTAATCTGAAACATTCAGAAACACCTAGTGTAAAAAAGCCAATTAATACTATCTGAGTGCGTGGGCTTCAATGTACTAAAATGTTAATCACCATAAGAAGCAATTACATTATTTATCACACTATGGGAGTTCATGTGAAACATGTACAAATTTACTTGTCCCAGACAACCGTGCAGCACTTCTTTCGAGCCCGGTGTTTTCCCACATTATGACACATAGAATGCATGTTAGCTAGTGTTTATTTTTTACTGGGACTACAACCAGTTTTCCGACCCGTCTGTTATTTTTTCAACTTTTGATCTGTTTGTCCTTTTTTTATTCTCAGAAAATATATTGCTTTTCAATGACTTTCAATGACCCACACTTCTATTTCATGACTTTTCAGGCCTGGAAAATGTAATTATAATTTCAGGTTTGTCATGACCCTATGAACCTTGTTAGTGGAGTAATCCATTTTGGTAGTAATAGCAAAAAAATGTTAGTCAAAAGACAGCTTATCTGTTGGACTTCCTCATAATGAGTTACGTAACCTAGGACAAGCTGTCTACAACTGTCAGGAATTTCTCTATAGTGTTGCTGGATTTTTTCCAAAGGCAAAGATTGTTCAACAATGTTGTCACAATTAGCCAGAACTGCTCTTTCTGTAGGGCCTATAAATTTACAAATACATTGATTAACTTATAACCTAAGATGACTGCTAATTTTAAGCACTCTTGAGTATATATTCAAATTATGTTTTGCAGACAGCACCTTCACAGCAGTTTAACTAGAAATTGTATTTATTTATAAAATCTGTTCAAAGCATGCAGCTGAAAGCAAGTGGAAAAAATCTTCTAAGCTTTAAAAAAATTTTGTTTCTCTGATAAGTGACTAAAAATGGTGAATGTTTCTGGAGAGCATGATGTCTGTTCTTCCATATCCTTCTAAAAGAAATACCAGACACCAGATACAGGCATTGAACTTATGCTTCACCTTTACTTATTTCCTAATATCCAGTTGTTTAATTCAAGCATGGGACTATAGTAAATAAAAATTTCACGTTAAATTACTATTCACTAACCAGACATAGAGCTGACATGAATGTTACTCTTGATGACTGCGGTCTGTTGGCCAGTGCGCAACTTCACCTGGATTCGTTCATAACACCGAGTGTTTTCAGGGCCATATATTGCCAAAGCTTCATTGCATGCTTTAAGGGTTCCAATGCGATACGCAAATAGACCCAAAGAACCAAGTAGTTGCTCAGTGTTTCGCATCTCCTGATGAAGGGAGCAGAGCTGTATATTGCACAACTCTTCATCGAGCAAGAACTCCAGATCATCCCTTAGTCCAGTCCATCTACAAAAATATAATATATCTTTTTAATTACAAAATAACTATTACCAGGACTCAGGTTATTCATGAAGTCAATACACCTGGTCAAAATACTCAAGATCAACACTACTTAAGGCATTTCCAGTGTGTTAAAATTTTAAAGTTGTCTGAAAATCAAAAGAAAGCTTGGATGGCTAATACAAGTAGAGTGTGTTTTGTTTACTCAAACATATGGAGCAAGTGCCACCTGTTCAGTGTGAAGAAAGGACACAATCATCCATTTCCACATGACTTACATGTACTCTTATGCCACTAAACTGTTTACCACTGTTTATTGAACAATAATCAAATCATTCTATTTTTCAACAATCTGACTTACTTTCCAATATTGGCTTTTGATTGCAGACAAGTGAGACAAGCAGCATCAAACCTGCCAGGCAAATGTTCTTTGCAAGCCTGAAAATCAAAAAGAGCAATAAATTTTGTTACAAATAGAGAATTAAAATCTATTTCGGGGGGTTACATACACATACACTGTATGTAGATCTATATGACAGAGGGAACTATTTAACAGCATGCAATCACAGAAATGTTTGCAATTAAGTGTAGCTTGACAACAACTTTACTCCCTACAGTATTCTTGATCCCATTCCCTGTTGTTCAAATTTCAGGAAAAATATTTTTATGCTAGGCAATAATCATATTCCTATTTGTGGACCACCTAGAGGGAAAGAAATTAGTTTGAAAGATTGGATGCTTCATAAACTATAGGGTAAATCTAGCTACTAAATGTCTTCTAACTTTTTTGCAATGGGAGCAAAAAAGTGCTACTCAATAAAATCAGGAAGTTAAAAACAATGGAGTGCTCAAGAAACAGGGATTTGCCTCAGAACCTAATTAATAATTATATGATTTGGAGAACTGTTTACTGTAATCCAAAAGCTATATTTAACCTTCAACAACATTATTATCACTATCTGTATACACCAAGAAAGCGATTCTTGCTTACCCTCAAGGCTGTGCAAAACACACAGAATCCAACCTCAAACCCTTTGCCTCCCAGTGGCTCCCAATGATCATCATCTCCTTCACCCTGATCTTCCAATATCCTCCGTATAAGGAGCAACAGAGACTTGTAATCCAGTGTCACTAAAATAAACATAAATTTGAGGTTAGCAAATATAGCACAATCATGCCATTTATTGAAGAATTAACAACTATCAAATAAGGATGTAACTGTCAAAAATAAACTAGTTTCTTCAATGCATATTTACAGCAAACCCTAGTTGCCTTTGACTTTCGGATGAAAGGCAAACTTTTCTTTGACATATACATAGATAGTACAGTGCAGTTCATGGCATAAGAGGGAAAGTTCAATTGAATAACTTAAATATGAATGACACCTTGGAAAGGCCACAAAATTACAATTTGCATTAGACTTTTGAGTGCTGATGACAAGGAATACTGATCATTTTTCAGGTCTATCCTGTAGCCCACTCATTTATTTTTATTGCAACATCAACTCAACTTCCCCCCCCCCCNCCTCCCCCCCAAAAAAACACACTTACCAACAAACTTGATCTTGTAGCAGGTGCCATCTACAGATAAACCTCTTTCTTTAATGATGTTTTTTTCATGATTCAACCGTCTGATAAGCTTTGGTATTTCTTCCCTGGAGAAATATGATCATTAAATAGTGGTATAACAAGCAACTTTAAGATGGTCCCCCCAATCCCCCTACATTTAATGACCGCTTTAAAATATGTTACCTGTTCTCTTTGCAGTTTCCAATTGCTAATGGATAAACTGAATCAGAACTCTCTGGACATGAGTGATTGAAATTCACTGCAACTACTCCCACAGAGACTTGATCTTTACCTGTTAATGTAATCAAAAGGCTGAGCCATTGACAACACCTACATAACAGAAACTGTTATGTAGTGAATAAAGATGGTAAATTTTAAGCTCAGAAATGGTTGTATTACAAAGTTTATGTTGGTTAAAGAATTCACATCAACAAGGAATTCAGAAAATAATGAAATATCTAACTAGCGTTGATCATGAACACACATGTATTTGCTGTCTTAGGTTTTAAATATTATCCTACTTATTCTATCTTTCACCAAATCATTTCAATTGTTAATGATTTGTACACTAAATAGCATGATCTTAAAACTAAATTGGCCAAAAAAGATCGCATCATAAACAATTCTGTTAACTAAGAATAGTTAACACAGTACTACACACAGTAGACAGTTAATTGATTTAGTAGAAGTGATCATCAAAATTATGATGCCTAAGCCATAACAGTAATAAAAACATAATACTATCTACACCAATAATAAAAAAACAACAACGAAGCAGAAAATAATTATAGCTACTGTAGTAGTGGTCTCAACAGCACCAATAGACTATAATTATATAACATTTGACATTACCTGCAAAAGGCCTCCCATCCAACTTGAGGTTAAAAATCATAGAGGGGTTTGCTGAATTATGTAGTCTAGCTTCTCTGATTGCCCAAATTAGCGTAGGAGCTAGACCAACAGAATATCCTGTGATTCCGAACTGAGGATCAAGAGGCTCTATTTTCATAAGAGACCTCACTGTTGAAAATATGACTGACTTGCATGCTTTGATCATGTTCTTTGTTAGGAGACACTGTAGGTCACCATCTTTCTTTTGTTAAAAAGAAAAAAATATGACAATTAGCACCCTTAAGTGAGTTTGTGTGACTTAAGAACCAAAAAACCAAAAATAAGCATAGTCAGCCATTAAGAACAAAATGCAGTAAATGATTTTCTGACCATGATGTTGCATATGGTGATTATCTCCAATTATAAACAATTATTGGATAAGGTTTTTGTGATATCCAGAATAATCGAGGTCAAGGTACATATAGGGGTTATCAGCCGAAGGTGGGGGCTTCATTATTTTCTATATTCCTTACTATGCATTGAACGAAAAAAAAAAGAAACCAAAGTCCTGTTTTTGCTTCTTCACTGACGGCAAGCAACACAAAGTGCATGAACTTGACATGATTACCCTCAGAAATCATGCACTGCGGTCATACATGACACCACTACCCGTGACCTTGAGTGTCCTTGGCATGATTATTATATAATCTGCAGCTACTAGATGATATCACAGGTGCTGATTTTGAAAATTCACTGTACGCTTTCGGCCAATCAGAAAAGAGATTATAGTGAGTTCAATGTATAATAAACTGAATTAATGTTGCCTTTTGGTCAGTGCTTACTTGTGATCAATTAGAAGGACAGGGGCAAAATGACATCATAAACATCAATTCCTTTTTCTGTTTTGACTCTGAGTTCAGCTAAATGTATCACTATTTTGTCCTTACCACAATGTGATGTCATCTGTGATCAATTACTGAACAGACACATGACTCTATTTGTTAAACTGAAGTGTCCATAGTTTGATTAGCAGTTAGGATTTGCATTTCTTGCTCATTAAAGTACAAAATAGAAGAACAATGAGCCTACACTGTAAATCACAGAGTTAAAACCACAACATTCTCAAATGAATAAAACATCACTTACCCCACTTCTTCCAAGATTTAGGAAGTTTAAAATGGTTTGCCAGCCATTGTCCGGTAACTTTGTCTCCAGTTTGACATAGACTTGTAACCAATCTGGCGCTCGCATGGCAATCTGTTGCTTTTGCTGAACCTCGGGAGTAAACGCGAAGTCTGCTGCAGCTTTGAGTCCTTTGTTTAGGGCAACAATCTCTACGGCTTCTGAAACTGCTGAACTCACAGCCAACTGGTGTTCCTGATTGCCATAAATAGATCCGTAGCCCAGAATGGCTCCCAAACTTCCATAAGAAGAGTTGAAGGCATTTTGGATCGCATCTAAAGCAATGCCACAAACCGATCTCATTTCTCGTTTCTTGGTGATGGGTCCAAGCGAACTTTTCGCGACACTTTCGAGGTTTGATGATCTTATAAGTTTTGACGGCAAAGGTGTCTCTGGAGGAGTTTCCATAACTGCCGAGATCGAAGCTTCCACTTCTCTAACTCTGTCTCGATAAAATTTTAGTTCCTTTTCAAGGATGGCGATTCTCTGGCTTTTCGGTGTTCGAGCGTCGATTGCCGAACCCACATTGCGATCGCTGACATCAACATTGTTTATTGTGTCAACGACAAGCTCAAAAATTCTGGATGACAAAAATCCGCTTTCTTTCGTCGACGACTGCTTGAGCGAGCCACCAAGGAGACCAAACAAAGATATGGCGAAGGCTTCTTCTGAACTTTTCACTGAAAACCACTCGAACGGGACGTGCTCTCCGT